CAATGTCATGTTACTCCCATGGCCTGCAATTTCTCCAGATCTCTCCCCAATAGAGCATGTGTGGGATGAAATGGAGCGCCGTCTTCCACATCCTCCAGATAACGTCCGTGACTTGGCACAGGACTTGAGGATATGGCAGGCCATTCCCCAGGCCTTCCATGCCCATTTGGTGGACTCCATGCGTCGCCGATGCACTGCTGTGATTCACGCACAGGGTGGTCATACCCGTTATTGACTTTGTCGTTTGACCCCCTACTCCATTTTGATCTTCTGACGTCATCGTAACAGATGTTGTTCAGGTCCCGTTGACATTTTCTTATGGTCCGATCATTCAGCTGCTACAGCGTCTGCATCATTTTGTTCTTGCTGTGTTGTATTTCAATCAAGAATATATTTTCTCCGTGCACAGTTTCTTTATGTGACTAGTAATCTGTTTTTAATCTACAGCATATTTTTATCCCCTGCCACGAAGTGGAAGGGGGATATAGGAATGGGTGCCGTCCGGTCGTCACATTTCGTTTCCGGAGCAGATCTTGAAAACCTTACCATATTTCTCCACCAAACTTGGCACATAGATAGATCTAGTGGTGAACTGGTGCCTTTTGATAGTTTGGCATTTTTAAAAAAAATATTTTTTGAGTTTCCTTGGCAACGACTTTGATTTAGACTGAAAATGGCAGTAGTCCTCGTTTCCGGAGCAGATCTTGAAAACCGTACCATTTTTCTTCACCATATTTTGCACATTGATAGGTCTAGTGGTGAACTGGTGCCTTTGGATAGTTTTGGATTTTTTTTAAAAGTTATTTTTCGAGTTTCCATGTCAACGACTTTGATTTAGACTGAAAATGGAGGTAGTCTTCGTTACCGGAGCAGATCTTGAAAAACGTACTATATTTCTTTACAAAAAGGCCCAGTGAACAAAGTTCACAGGAGCTAATGCATTGCACACACCCGACATGTCATATTGGCGGGGGATGTGAGTATTTCATGCTTTTTGTTATTACATCCTTCAGTCATTAGCTATTGCGTTCAGGGTTTGTGTTTTATCAGTTATGTTCATGTATCAGCTCGGCGATAAGCTTAGTGGTCATGTTTTCAACAAAACAAATCGCGAGTTATGTCACGCCCACACGTGTTATCCACGCTCATCAACAGCTGGTCAATGCCGATGTTCGCGAAAGTTTTTCTCACGAAACCATTTACGAATTCATTAAATATTAGATTTAAAAAAAAGACTGATAAATGTATGCATTTGTATTTAGAACCTTAAGTTACCTATTAAAAATGTGATGTTATGGTATTACGGTATCGCGGTGCAGGTAGAGTTATTTGTTTACCACCGTTGCTATGATCGTGTCCGCTTTATCCAGTCTATGATGTGACGACCAAAGTTATTTTTTGTTTACATTTAATTAAACCAAAAGTTGCTAATTTTTAGAAATTAAGATTTATGTGAATAATCAACTGCTTGTTTTTTAAATAAGGTGTGATAATTTTACCAACTGACATTATTAATTGCTCTGTCCAGCACGTTGAAGTTCCCGAATATACTGAACCGCAAAAGAAACGTCACCCCAAGTAACATTGCATGAAAAGTTGTCATTTAAATATCTGGGTAATTATTGTCAAAGTTTCTCAAATTTAACATTACCTTGTCCGGCAAATGAAATTTGATGATAAAAAAACAAAGCAGATGACAATAAAACCGATCGCCCAAACGCATCACGGCAACGGCCATGGTAACCCGAAGCACGTGAGTTCCCCCATTTCTTGCCCTATAAAAATCCACCCAGATCGGATAACATTCATTCGTTAATGAATTGCTACCACATGCCAAGATTAACAAGAAATCAGCCACACCAAGCCCTTGGACGATTGCAAGCTGGACAAACCGCCCGTCAAGTAGCCAATATATTTCAAGTCCACGTAAGGACCATCCATTCCATGTATCGACGTTGCACGGCAGTCATCAATGCACATGGCGGACACACGAGATACTGACATGTGATGCCATTTTCTCAGAGACTAGTGTTGTGTTTTACTTTAAGAACTTTTGATACTATTATTTCAACTTTGATGATCAGTTTTGCCAAGTTTCATCTTTTTAATATGTATCTATCCATGGTGACGTTTCTTTTGCGGTTCATATTATTGCATTGTCTGGTCCAGACTCGATTATTTACAGACCGCCGTCATATAGCTGGAATATTGCCGAGTGCGGCGTTAAACAACAAACCAACCAACCAATCATATAAAGCATGATAAAGGCCAGGACTGCTAAAGTAACTATCTAGGATGACGTGATGGTTTGTGTTGACGTGAGGCTGCATCAGTTCCACGACGACCCGGTGTCCAACATTCTGTTTCCCGGGTGGTCTGGTTTCCCGGGTAGTCTGGCACATCCCTGTCTCCTGCCCAAGGAGGCCTGGAAGTGATGAGTGTAACCAGACTTGTTTATTATGAGCCTGATTTTGTTTTATAGAAACTGCCTGCCACAAAAATTACTTTGTTGCAATGTTTGTGGCAGGCAGTTTCTTTCTTTTTTTCAACAGTCTGAAACAGTATTATTGTTCAAGACTTTTCGGGGACAATGACGATCAAATGACCCGTGAAGATCCGGGTTAGAATAGGTCTTCAGCAACCCAGCGACTGTGCTTGTCGTAAGAGGGGACTAAAGGGGGCAGTCAAGTAGCCTAGTGGTTAAAGCGTTCGCGCGTCACGCCGAAGACCCAGGTTAGATCCCCGACATGGGTACAATGCGTGATGCCCATTTCTTGTGTCCCCCCGCCATGACAATGCTGGAATATTGCTGAAAGCGGCGTAAAACCAAACTCACTCACTCGTCTGGACAGAGTCGCTGACGTAGTTCATGCATGTCATCTCCGATGCTCATGCCAATCACTGGATTGTCTTGTCCAGACTCGATCATTTGCAGACCGCCGTCATATAGCCGAGTGCTAATAAACAAACATGACTGAAAGAATTAACAAAAGAACATTTCTTTGAGAAAAATGTTTTTGGGTGACATCCGTAATGTTTACATTATCGAATACGTGCCCTCGGAATGTGTGTTTTGTTTCGGATCAAGGTTGTAGATGTAGATCAAGGTTACCAATGTCTGGAATTTCAGGAACAAAGAAAATCTTTTTTTTTGTATTTCAAAGATGGTCCTAGGATCATGACAGGGCGCCAGACACTATGCTTGTCGTAAGAGGCGACTAACGGAAAAGGGTGGTCAGGCTCGCTGACTTGATTACTGCACGTCATATTATGCCAATTGCGTAGATCGATGCGCATTATGTCAATCACTGTATTGTCTGGTCCAGATTCGATTATTGTGTCATTAACTCCAAAGTCACTACTTAATTTACAGTCCCGTGAAGATCCGGATTATAGAATAGGTCTTCAGCAACCCATGCTTGCCGTAAAAGGCGACCTTGCTTGTCGTTAGAGGCGACTTACGGATCAGGTCATCACCCGGCTCTTCTTCATGAGAGTCTAGTTTGTGATTGTTGCTACATGTCTGAACAACTATTGCCGACGGGCATTAAAAAGTGACTGGTGCATTCGTTTTGAGGCAGAATATTCTTCCTGTCCCTGGTCGATAGGCCCCTTACAATGCTCCATGATCCCCAGCGAGGTGGCCTAGCTTTGGTTACTGGTGGCCTTTAGCTGTATTACTGTTGGTTGGTTGGTTTGTTGTTTAACGCCGCACGGCGGTCTGTAAGTAATCTAGTCTGTACCAGACAATCCAGTGATTATTATAATGAGCATCGATCCACGCAATTGGGATCGATGACATGCATCAACAAAGTCAGCGAGCCTGACCACCCGATCCCGTTAGTCGCCTTTTACGACAAGCATAGTCCCCTTTTACGACAAGCATAGTCCCCTTTTACGGCAAGCATGGGTTGCTGAAAGACCTTTTCAGCGTAGATCACGAGCAAAATGATTGCTGTTTCAGATACACTTAAGGACGATGTGGCCTTCCTTGTCAATAGTATACGGACAATGGTGCAAAATCAGCAGAAACACGTCATCAAAGAGGGCATTTCGACTCGCACACTGAAACAACAGAGTAAGTTCAATATCTGTTTGGTTTGTTGTAGTTCATTGTATTATACAAATGTCAGTGGTATACCACTTCTTTGTTTTGTTGTTGTTGGTTTCACACTGAATCCCTTTGCGTACAGAGACATGGAGACATTCGGATCCCGCACTCAGCAATATTCCAGCTATATGACGGCGGTCTGTAAATAATCTAGTCTGGGCCAGACAATCCAGTGATTGACATGCGCATCGATCCATGCAATTTGGATCAAGGACATGCATCAACCAAGTCAGCGAGCCTGACCACCCGATCCCGTTATATTGTTATGCTCAAATATGTTTCATGAATTGTTTTTAAACATAGTATGCTCAAATATGTTTTAAATATAACTGCATAACTAACTAAATTGTGAATATATTAACTTCCTCTCGTCGCAATGAAGCTGAAAAAACGCCGATGCAACGTTAAATTTTAACTCGCTCACTCACTACAATGTTGACAATGCTTACTGATTAGAACTGATCCCCAGCTACCTAGGCTGGGTAACTTGGATCATTGTGTTTCATCATACCCCTGTGGTGTGGATCCTTGCTTACATTAATAACTGATAATTTACAGACCGTGGTCATAAAACTGGAGTGAGTGAGTATGGTTTTACGCCGCTTTTAGCAATATTCCAGCAATATCACGGCGGGGGACACCAGAAATGGGCTTCACACATTGTACCCATGTCGGGAATCGAACCCGGGTCTTCGGCGTGACGAGCGAACGCTTTAACCACTAGGCTACCCGACCGCCCCCTCATATAACTGGAACAATATAGAAAACATAAACATTTCTTTGAAAACAAATGGTTTTTTTATGACATCCGTAAGATATACATCACGTGATGCATGTTTAATTTTAGCCAAGTAGGTTATTCAGGTGTGTAATTTTAGGAACAAGGACATTTTTTATTTCGGATATTTTTTATTTCGGATGAGCGCATTTCATTGATATTACATATTCCTATTTCTGCGGATCCATAGGAAGGATATGCGAAAGACAGAGATGCGGAAAATCACGACAGGGATCCTGTCTGGGCGTAGGCAGCGGTTCAAACTGCTTTAGGATATCCAGTAGGTCTTCTTGTTCCGGGAAGTGAAACAGATTGAAACACATTGGAATGGTTGGTGGATGTACATTAGGAGAAAGGGGTAACCGTGAACACATATATGATATCATGACTGAAGGATCGTAGTAAGTCTCGTGATACAAGCTTTTCACTCTGATACTTTCTATAACAAATCACGTTACGAAATTTCTGTACACCACTTAATACCATGAATTTTACCACCACATGTACATGTGTACCACTATTCTTGGCAATTTGAAAATTTTGGAATTTAAATGTGTTTTAATTTATTCTATTAAAAAATATAAGTGGCATATATTGCACGTTTCAGTCTATTCATATAAATTCATATAAAGTGTCATCAGCTGATGGTTATCCTAGAATTAAAAGCGTTCGGTCGTCGCGGCAAAGGACCGGGTTTGATTGCCCACATTGGTACATTGGTACGTGTCTCCCGCCGAGTAAAATCGGCGTAAAACTATATTCACTACTTTCCATATACTTTTCTATAAGTCACTATTTAATCATATGACCCATGATCATCCGGGGTACAATAGGTCTTCAGTAAGCCATGCTTGCCATAAAAGGCGACTATGCTTGTAAGAGGCGACAAACAGGATCGGGTGGTCAGGCTCGCTGACTTAGTTGATGCTTGTGATCGTATCCCAATTGCATGGATCGATGCTCATGTCAATCACGTGATTGTCTGGTTCAGACTCGATTTTTTACAGATCGCCGTCATATAGCTGGTATATTGCTGAGTACGGCGTTAAACAACAAATAAACAAACAAACTTACTTGGCACTGGCGCTGCAAGGTTGGCACATACCAGCGTGACGAACAGAGCCAACTTAAGAATCATTGTTGATGCTGAAACACATACACTAGGTTAAATCCTATCTCCATCACACAGTGCATTGACCAGTATCTAACATGTATCAAGTGCATTTAACATGTAGCAATACAGAGATTCAGTTGCCGCATCTCGGTTGGCAACAATATTTTCCTTGAAACTAGATGTTGAACTTTCGGGGTAGAATAGGTCTTCAGCAACCCATGCTTGCCGTAAAAGGCGACTATGCTTGTAAGAGGCGATTGACGGGATCGGGTGGTCAGGCTCACTGACTTGGTTGATGCATGTCATCGATCCCATTTGCGTGGATCGAAGATCATGTCTGCTCCAGACAATTATTTACATACCGCCGTCATATAGCTGGCATATTGCTGAGTGCGGCGTTAAACAACAAACAAACAAAAACCATCATCGAAAACCCACTGCATGATATCTCCATTGAATTACACTCTTCAAAAAAAGAAACGCACATGTAGATTTCCTAAAAAAGTAGATATATTTAATATCATAGATACAAATATGAAATTTTGGAGCCCCGAAAGTCACATGATGCTGTACATGATGTACAAAGGCATTGCAAACTGTTCATTGTCATGTCACATAAGGCCACAAGGTAACATGTACGTTGAACTCAGTATCTCCTGTGACCGCCCCGAGCAGCAATCACAGCTCTGCATCTCCTCGGCACTGACTGGATAGGTGTACGAATTCTGTCCTGCGGAATGCTGCGCCATTCTGCTTGTAACGCATTGGCCAGTTGTGAGAGTGTCTGCGGCGTGTTCTGACGTTGGCGCACACGTCGATCGAGTTCATGCAGAGGTGTACGATTGGGTTGAGATAGGGAGATCTCGACGGCCAGGGCAAGACTTGATGTTGGCATTATGAAGGTAGTCTACCGTGACACGAGCTGTGTGCGGTAGCTGTAGCGATTTGCTGTCAAATGTCCCTGAACCCCAACCAAGTCAGATCTCGAGGTGTAGGATATGGCCCCCGACACCATGACACTACCACCACCGAATTTTTCAAATTCACGTGCACAATGTTGGGCAAAACGCTCATTTAGACGACGATAAACACGTTGTCTTCCATCTCGCCGGTGAAGAAGAAATCGTGATTCATCGCTACACCACACTTGTCTCCAGTTTCTCAAATTCCAAGGCTGTAAGGTATGGCACCAACGCAGGCGTCGCTGTCGATGGATCTGTTGCAAAAAAGAGATGATAACTGGTCTTCTGGGTCGGATTCCAGCCTCGCGAAGACGGTTCCTGACAGCGTTGTCAGATATCCTCCTCAAACCAGGGATGCGTCCTGCAGTCTCCGTAGCAGTGGCATTGCGATGACGTAGGTGGAACAGTCGAATGTAACGATCCTGTGCAGGGATGGTAACTCTTGGTCGGCCGGTTCTCGGACGGTCTGCAGTGGAATTGACCTGTATGTATTGGCCACAAAGGTGGCACATGGTGCTGTGGTGGTCCTTGAAGTGGCGTGCTACAGAAGACTGCGATTCCCCTCTTTCGATACGTCCTATGGCAATGTTCCGATCGGCAGCGCTGAGTCTCGGCATTTTCAAACTTGAAAAATGTTGACAATTGAATGACAATTTATTGCACTTGCACCTGCATTTTGCTTTACTGTTTTCCTCCATGACATTTTTGAACAAGTGTTAAAACAATGACGTTTAAGGCATTGCAAATCGACAGTGGCTGCGTTTTGACGCACCGTTTGCGTGCTTGCCGTAAAAGGCGACTATGCTTGTCGTAAAAGGCGACTAACGGGATCGGGTGGTCAGGCTCGCTGACTTGGTTGATCCATGTCATCGATCCCAATTGCGTGGATCGATGCTCATGATATTAATCACTGGATTGTCTGGTCCAGACTCGATTATTTACAGACCGCCGTCATATAGTTGGAATATTGCTGAGTGCGGCGTTAAACAACAAACCAACCAACCAACGAATACCAGGCCACCAACATTTTCTAATAACATATATCCAATTTATATACCGGATCTTTTGTGTAGTAAGGTTCGATGAACTACATACTACCTGTGCGTTTTTTGAAAGAGAGTGCGTGATAAACACCATGGACCAAAAATTGCTGGTGCCAAAATATTATACGTCCAACAAATACCACGCATGAGCGAGAGAAATTATGTGCGAAGTTACTTATACGAGAGATGGGATCGAGATGGTAACGAAACGAAGGTATGGTTGCGCAAGGGTCAAGGGTATTTATCATAAGAAAATGGATGGAACAAATGCTGTTTGTTAAGGTGATAAAAAAATGTGTGTGTGTTGTATCAGTTTCTTCAATATGGATATTACGAAGATAGTTTTGCAGCAAATGAATAGTCTGATTGTTTCACGCTGCACTAAGTATTCCAGCTATGTGAAATGAGAGCAGCCAAGTTGCCGAACCTCACCACCCAATGCTTGTATTTTATTATCCCCCGCCCCAAAGAAGTGTGTGTGTGTGTGTGTTTTCCCGAAATCGTTTCTTGAGCATAACTCAGAAACCGTTAAATATTTCTCTACGACACTTTGCATGTCCATCAGACTCATGCTGAACTGGTGCCATTTGCTATTTAGGAATTTTATAAATTTTTATTTTTTACGTTTCCATGGCAACAAGTTGGACTTAGGTTCTATAAGGGTGGTGTTCGCTTCCGGAGCGTAACTAAAAAAAACCATTAAATACTTTCTTACAAACCTTTGCACGTCTACTAGGCACATACTGAACTGGTGCCTTTTGCTATTTAGGAATTTTATTATTTTTTATTTTTTACGTTTCCATGGCAACAAGTTGGACTTAGGTTCTATAAGGGTGCTGTTCGTTTCCGGAGCGTAACCCTAAAACCGTTCAATAATTTCTTTCAAAACTTTGCATGTTTACCAGACACATACTGAACTGGTGCCTTTTGCTATTTAGGAGTTTTATAAATTTTTATTTTTTTACGTTTCCAATGCAACAAGTTGGACTTAGGTTCTATAGGGTAGAGTTTGTTTCCGGAGCATAACTCAAAACCCATTCAATACTTTCCAACAAAAACTGTGCATGTTTACCAGACACATACTGGACTGGTGCCTCTTGCCATTTAGGAATTTTAGACATTTTTTTTATTTTTCACGTTTCCATGGCAATGAGTTGGACTTAGGGTCTACAGGGGTGGTGTTCGTTTCCAGAGCGTAACTCAAAAACCGTTCAATACTTTCTTACAAAACTTTGCATGTCTACCAGGCACATACTGAACTGGTGCCTTTTGATATATAGCACTTTTAGAAAATTTTATTGTTTATGTTTCCATGACAAGAAGTTGGATTTAAGTTTTAATATAGGATTGGTTTACTTAAGGAGTATAACAAATAAACTGTTAAATACTTCCATGCCAAATACTTGCATGTCTATATATAAAGCGCATACTGAACTAGTGCCATTTGATATTAAGGAGTTTTAGAAATGTTTTAGTTTAGAATTTCCATTGCAGCTATTTTGACATGGGCTAAGAGAAATGTTGGGTCAGTTAACTGGTTTGGGACCATAATGTGTTAAAATGGGCGGGGGATATAGATGACTTTGTCAACTATACGCTTGTGTTTATTAGAATCAAGATATGTTAATGAGTACACATTCCGTCACAGCAAATTTATATCTCACTTTATATTTTTGATATATTTGAGCTCGACATTGTTAAACTACATAAATATTTGAAAACATGAAATTAGAATCCACAAGAAAAGATAACATTTTCTATGATGGTCGTGTCACTAGTCTGTGGACATCTTTGTGAATGTTCAGTTTGTTTCAAATGTTTAAATTTGTCGCATCAGTGACGAAAATAAGGTCCGATGCAATTTGCTATTTTGATTGAACAATATGTTCCCGTGTTTTCTTAGGTGAACAATTGACTTGCCTTTGTATGTGTTTGTAACGGGTGCCACCGAAATGGACAGGATACGCTCACCTTTTCGCGAAGAGTTAGAATCATAACCACGTGCCCATGATATTGTCAGAATCGTAAAGTCGACATTGGCAGAGAATTCTTATAAATATGGAAAGGCTTTCGTTGCTTTAAATCGCCTCTCGGATGTCAGACTCATTTTGTGTTTGATAGGAGATTAAGGTACTGATATCGATGCTCATGATGTCAATCACTGGATTGACAGGTCAAGACTCGATTATTTACAGTTAGTTAGTTTGTTGTTTTACACCGCACTCAGCAATATTCCAGCTATATGACGGCGGTCTGTAAATAATCGAGTCTGGACCAGACAATCCAGTGTTATATCATGAGCATCGATCCACGCAATTGGGATCGATGACATGCATCAACCAAGTCAGCGAGCCTGACCACCCGATCCCGTTAGTCGCCTTTTACGGCAAGCATGGGTTGCTAAAGACCTATATATTCTACACCGGAATACGGTACAGACCATTTGAATATTGCTGTATGCTCCGTCAAACAACAAAAGTACCAAAGGAAATCTTGACACGGAGAGCCATTTAACGAAATGATGGTTGTCCTTTTGTTAGTTGGGACTTGAACAAACTCCGACTGATTACTGAGTTAATTTTAACAGTTTGCCAAATACACAGTTGAAATAAATAAAAAGTATGTGAATGAAAACAAATGCCTTAACATAGAGAGTTAGTTTGTTCACAAACACTGGCAACTTACATGTACTCTTCTGTCGCTGTTTGACGATATGGAGAAAACTGAATTCTGCCTTTCTTATATAGCACGCGCAGCTATTTCCGTCAAGGACTTTCTGTTTACCATTATGTAATGATTAAATCGTGTCACCTTAACCGTGCATGACATAATTTATAGGTCAGCTATAATAAGCCCTATGAATACTCTATTTTTATTTATTAAAACAACTTGTTATCTTTTATCACATATGCTACGTTGTTGTTCTTCAGACTCAATGCAGCCCCGTGAGATTTTTGGTAAGAATTAACCTGGTGCTCAGACACGATGACGTTTCTCCAATTATAAGTCACTGGATTGTTTGGTCCAGACTCGTTGATTTACAGGCAATCGTCATATGCTGGAATATAGTTGAGTGAGGCGTTACTTGCAATAAGTACTAGCAATATTACTGGAATATTGCTGAGTGCGGCGTTAAAGTTTATTTGTTTGTTTGTTGTTTAACGCCACACTCAGCAATATTCCAGCTATATGACGGCGGCCTGTAAATAATGGAGTCTGGACCAGACAATCCAGTGATTGACATCATGAGCATCGATCCACGCAATTGGGATCGATGACATGCATCAACCAAGTCAGCGAGCCTGACCACCCGATCCCGGTAGTCGCCTTTTACGGCAAGCATAGTCACCTTTTACGGCAAGCATGGGTTGCTGAAGACCTATGCGGCGCTAAACAACAAACCAACCAACGTATCCTCTATTATGCTTTTGTCAATTCCATTATCCGTGATGCATCTGAAGGCAAGAGCAGCCATCAATCACCGGCTTGTGTAAGAAACCGAGCAATCTCGCTCAACTGGACCATCAAGTCCACTGAGTTCGCATCATACAGGATGCTGATGGTGTGTCATTTGATAATAATAACGACTGTCATATTTCCAACTTTCCTTGTGCCAGTGCAGTTATACCGTGCCATTCTCCCAGTTGATAATTAAAATGCAGGCTAATGGCCAGTATAGCATGAGGGGGCACCAGCTAATGCTAATGTGTTAACTCCTGGAGCAATCGAAACCGGTTTTACGATTGCAAACCAGCAGGTAAAGCTCAGTGTCCTTGTTTAACACTTTCTCCAAACATTTGGGAATTACTTCTTCAATCGTTCAAACCGAGACTGCGAAATACGTAGCATTGGCACCCAATCGTAAATAGCGTATACATTGTATAAAAAAGTGTCACGTTCTTCTTCCTTAACACAACGTTACAAAATTTTACGAAATAGTGGATCTTTATCATGTTTATATTGTCTTTTGGAAAGCCTAAATGTTGTTGCAAAATGAATTTGTTTTTGTTATGAGGCCATCGTTGAAAGTGTGAGTAGTAATATTTTTTTCGCGTTTTTCTTACCTGTATAAATTTGTGAACTAAGTTCATGTCCACTTGTCAAGTTTTGTCTTTTTCATTGTGTTTTCATTTCCATTGGCAGTTATGGATGTCATCATCGTTCACCAAGGCAAACATATCTGTACTAAGTCCGGTTTTGGGATTCGGGTGGTCGAAACATTCATCAAACAGCAAGTCCTCTTGATAACAAAAACGCAAACCCGGACTTGGTGGTGTTGATCGTGGCGCATAGAAACCGTTTCTGGCAACACTCGCAATCTGAATCTTGGAACTTCTATCTGTCCATATGCAGTTTTTACAACAGAGACATTAAATGTGTTCAGAGGTTGAATTATACGAAAAAGTCTTTATGCCAGTCAGATCTCCGCCCGCTTTAACGAGGTCATTTCTACTTTGACAGGTGTCAAATGGTCAGCTATGTTTGTTTACAAACAACGCAGACGTAGTTTTGGTTTTTACTGCAAAATGAATATGATGTGAAATAAATGAAAAGAAAATGTGAAATCATGTTGTTGATATGAAACTATGTTTCTTGTCTTGAAAATCTCGAATCAGTGAGATTCTAGCACGTAAAATATCTGAATGAATGGCGTGGATTTGTGATTGAATGGGATGAGAAAAAAATAGTCCCGTTGTCCAATGAAAATTGATCTTTGTTCAACTGACCATCAGCTTCGAGAATCACTAATTGCATTCTGTGTAAATATCAAAAAGATATTACACTGCATATCTGAGCCAATATGGGTAATAACTTACCATATTCATAAGAAATCACCATCAAATAGTGATGATGCCTGGCGTTTGCGAAAAGGTGACCGTATCATGTCCCACCGGTGGCACCCACTACACACACATGCAAAGGTAAGTCAATTATTGACCTGAAAAAAACAAGGGACCACAAGATATGTCAAAATAGGGATTTGAATTGGACATCATTTATCACTGATGGGTAAAATTTGGAAATGTTCTCCAAACGTCTGCAATCAATGTTTCTGATGCATTACCAAGATGAGTGTTTAATGTGGGGCAACCTCTACTTGTCCCTACATACACTGGAACAGCTTGGGGTCACATTTTCTTTCGGCCCGGCAGCTCAGTTTAAATTGTTCGTATTGGAGATTGACACCAAAGCAATGCAGATCAAATTCCTGGAGACCAAGATCAAGAAGGTGATATCCAAGGCATATAAATCAACAGGTAACATGAATGTCATTGGAAGGGCCCTGCAGCCTCAAGTACGTAAGCTCAAGTTCATATGCAAGGCTTTTTAAATGACAAAGGCAGTCGGTCTTAGGCTAATTCACCTGCTTAGAAAACGTTATTCCAACACATCAAGATTACCGATCGACCGAGTCTAGAAAATTTGAGTGAGTTGTAATTTTCTTCAGATGTCGGGACAGGTTTTGGGACTTACCTATATTGTAAATGGGTGGCACGACCAGTGGCACAACATGCGACATGACTGTCCTGGAGCTGTTTCCCATTGCAAAGTTTATTCAACTCTGGGTCATCTAATCCTTCAATGCCGCAAACTATTCTGTTCAAGGCAAAGTATGTCTTTACCAGTTTAAATACCATTACCGATGCTCCGTCGATGTTTCAGGTTTGAAAGCATCCGGGCTGTAGTAACAAACTCGGAGCAGAAGCTGTCACCTATCCCGGACAAGTATGGCTGATCTGAGGCAAAAAGCTGGTAAACCCCTGCACAAAAATCCCTCTCTGTGAACACACAGTCAACCAACTAATCCACCAACAGTTCTGGTCCTCGCATCAGCTGCAGGTAGTCTGGCTATCATGACATTGCTTATAAGTATTATTATTATTAATTTATTAATTCCGCCTCTGTGGTCTAGTGGTAGAGCATCCACCCGGAGAGTGGAAGGTCCGGGGTACGATCACCGTCCGCGTCATCCGCACTAGAAATCGACATCAGTCGGGACTAGTAAAAGCTCTCTCTCTCTCTCTCTCTCTCTCTCTCTCTCTCTCTCTCTCTCTCTCCTCTCTCTCTCTCTCTCTCTCTCTCTCTCTCTCTCTCTCTCTCTAACACACACACACACTTCGCAATATAAATGCAGTAATCTTGGACGCGACATTAAACTCCACTTCACCAACTAAATATTTGGATATATTCATAAAATGTAGCTGCTTGTCTACCATGGCCTACATGATCAGTGAGGACATCTCCTGTTTTATAATGGTAAAATAGCTCTTTTTGGGGTTTGATATAATAAACAGTCTTCAAATGTATGTTCTTTATTTATTCATTGGTAAAAGCCATTAATAACCCTACAAACTGTCAGTAACAAATTCAATATGATCCTAATGCACACTTAAACAGAAAAAGCTCTGCTATTCATGATCCATCCACACAAACAATACAAGATATATGAGCATAAAAAAAGGCTGAATGAACCATTCTCTTCTGATTTCAAACTGTTAAATGCAGGTTTTGAAGTACAGACAAATATCGTGGTAAACGTCACTAGTCAAGGACAATCCAGCTTCACGAAAATGTCAACATAGTCTTTCCGGTAACTAAACTTGCTATTACTAGGGACTGCTGAAAAGAAACCGAGATGTAGTGTTAAACACTCTGTAACACCAACAAATGTTCACAACAGTTGATCTAAAAGTCGTTTCTTATGATAGTTATCCACTTGTACATACAAAACTATGTCTTTATAGTTGGGGAAAGCGTCAAAGCTCCGACCGAGAACATGACTGAAAAGTCTAGACTTTCAGTTCTGTAAATATGGCTTTAATGTCGGAATGTTTTGCAACATGTGGTCTTGACTTGCCAGATTTTCCTATTTTGCATTCGGCCATTAGATTGTTCTTGATCTTGTCTTGTGACTTCAAGTTAAGTGCTGCATTCCTGGCACTTTTATGTTGCATTGGCACCTTAATGGTGAATCGTCTTTTTGATATCTTGAAACGTCTTCTCAACCAAGTTATTATTGAGGATATTGTTTCCAGTTCCGCCAGAAGTATTGGATGTACAGTTCCATTTGTACTCCACAGCGTGTCTCTCTGACAGGATGACAGGAGAACTGTGATGTAGGCCTGGAATCGGAATAGCCACAACTTGTATTTTGTTTGTCCACCTACGTCGCACAATAACATCTCAAATTTGGCATCTCTGGCAATGCGATCACCATCGCCTCTGGTATGCATCATCGTGTCACGCAGACGCAAGGTACACTGCATGAAAGATGCTCGCCCATGTGCCAAAGTGTCATCGGATTCTGGAGAATGTTTTGACACATCTTGTGTATGCACTGTCCTAAGGTGTCGTTCAAAGATTCTCGTTGATTTGAACAGCTTTCTACATTCACACACATACTTTTTCAATACAGCATCATATCTGTCACTGACTGTCCTGGGATAGAACAGGTCTTCAGCAACCCACGCTTGTCGTAAAAGGCGACTATGCTTATCGTAAAAGGCGACTAACGGGATCGGGTGGTCAGGCTCGCTGACTTGGTTGATGCATGTCATCGGTCCCATTTGCGTGGAGAAACACGTAATCAACACATTAACCGGGACGATCCGATCCGACGTCTCCGTTCCAACAACCTCAGATGTCGCCGACCAGCACGTCGTCCTGTTCTCCAACCACGGCATCGACAAGCACGACTTCAGTGGGCACAGGGTCATCGCAATTGGCGTCATCGTGAGTGGAGTCGTGTCATCTCTGATGACAATCGCTTTTGTGTCTCCCATGCAGACGGAAGAGTAAGAATTGGGCTGCGTCGAGGTGATCGCTTCCCTGACAGAAACATTGCGGAAAGGGATCCATGTGCTTTCTGATTTTTGGTCAAGGTCGGGGACACGGCGTCACTGCTCAGCGGTATATCGACCAAGTGATCAGACCCCACGTTGTTCCATTTTTTGCACAACATGAACAACACATTTTCCAGCAAGACAATGCTCGTCCCCATGTTGCCAGAGCTACAATGGCCTTTCTGCAACAACACAACATCCGTGTTCTACCGTGGCCAGCCCTCAGCCCTGATCTGAACTCCATCGAACACTTGTGGGATGAGGTTCAAAGGCGTCTGCTCAACTGCCGATGAACTACGCACAGCTGCTCTGGATGTGTGCAGGGGGATCCCTAGGGCCTTCACAAATCGTCTGATCCACTCAATGTACAGGAGATGTGTGGCAGTGATTAATGCTAATGGTGGTCACACCAGGTATTGACTGACATTTTGGGTATTCACCCGAAACTGTAAGCCCTTAACATTTGAAAACAAAATTATGTCATCTGCCTTTTACTTTTTGTCAATCTTGCCCTATTAGTATTTCTTGTCTTTACTGTTGAAAATAAATAACATGTATACTGCATACTGCAACCCATACTTGCCTTTTAAAAGGCTACTATGCTTGTCGTAAGAGGCGACTAACGGGATGCGTGCATTATCATCTTTAAAGATGAAATGTTGCTAAACACGTTGGGCAAATGGTACCACGAGAGGTGCAATGATGTTGTCCCGCTAGTATTGACCTGTGACTCTGCTATGGCCAATATGGAACTCAGTTTGGCCAGTCCTTGTGATACCACCCAATACCACTAAGGGCCCACCCCAAAAACGACATTAACGTCCATAGGACTCTCATTAGGACGTCTCCTAACACGATTCCTTCGGTAATGGAATTCGAGAGTGAACCTCGATTCGCCAGAAAACATGTCATTAGCCTAACGTCGATTATCTTAGTGCTGACGTCCCCTACACCACTGACGCCTCCGATTCAAATGACAGAAAGTTGTTAGATGACACGTGGACTTCGTGCACGCAAATGCCATCTGTGCATACGATTTCGCAGTGTCCGGGCATGCAATTATACACCAGTTGCCAGTTGTTCATCACGTTGCAAATGTCGCATGATGAATGCTGTTGCTGTTGTGTTTAATAAAGCGTCGTTGTGCGTTTGGTTCCAAGAAAACAACATACGTCTGCTCTAGGGCTGGGACGAGTCCAAATTTACTACCCGGGTACCCACCATGCTATTACCCGACCCTACACGGACACCCGCTATATGTCTCAAGACTTGGGTGTAAAATGTCCGACTGGGAATAGTTTGACCGTAGCCCTGGTAAAATGTATTTAGATACACGTATAAAACGATCTTGTCATGCATACACTGAATTTGACTGAAGTTTTATCTTTATTCAAACCTATAAAGGTCAGAAGGAATGGGTGCATAGTCAGAAAGAAATGCGAACATTAGTGACTTGTAGTGTAACCATAGAGTTTTATTTTTAGCCATTGAACAATATATCTCGTGACTAACCACGGGTCCAGGTAGTCCTGGGGGAACGGGTGGCCCAGTTGTCTTAAGGCGCCTCGATTCGCAGTGCAGAGTTGCGTCCCCTGGGCATGGCAGAAACCTATGATTGTGTGGTCGAATCCCGGTTCGCCCCGATTGTTCCTAGGTTTGTCAGCACCATACCCGTGCTCGTTGGTTACACCGAAGCGGTAAACGTCTGAGACCTGCATCACTTCGGGCTTTCCTCCCACATTCAGCTCACACTCCGTGATATAACTGGAATAATGTTAAAAGCGGCGTTAAACCCAACTCACTCACTCACTCCAGGTAGTCCTGTGGGTACCCGGGTCCTACTCAGTACCCACCCGACCCGAGTACCCGAGTTACCCGTCCCAGCCCTAGTCTGCTCACAGCCGATTCTGCGTGACACTGGTAAATCTGGAACACCACACTTTGCACGTTTCCGGGGTAGAATACTCCTTAATGTACTGTAAAACTTTTCACCATCTTGTTTGGAACAGCTTTTCATTATCTTGGTGTTTCCACGGGCTGCAATTGTCATTAAGACCAGTGAAGATCCGGGGTAGAATAGGTCTTCAGCAACCCATGCTTGCCGTAAAAGGTGACTATGCTTGTCGTAAAAGGCGACTAACGGGATCGGGGGGTCAGGGTCGCTGACTTGGTTGATCCATGTCATCGATCCCAATTGCGTGGATCGATGCTCATGATATCGATCACTGGATTGTCTGGTCCAGACTCGATTATTTACAGACCGCCGTCATATAGCTGGAATATTGCTGAGTGTGGCGTTAAACAACAAACAAACCAAATTTTAGGTTTGTCAGCACTATATTCGTCCTTGTGGGTTTCGTCAAAGTGCGAAACGCCTGAGACCTGCATCACTTTGGGCTTTCCTCCCACATTAATCTGATCCCCAGCAACCTGTGTTGGATTGTCAAACTGGGTGACTTGGTTCATTGTGTCATCATACCCTGATGGTGTGGATCGTTGTTCATAATATCAATCACTGATTTATATGTTCCAAACCTGAATATTTACAGACCGTAATTTAAATAACTGGAACAATAAACAAAACAAAAACATTTCTTTGAAAACAAAAGTTTCTTTATGATATCCGTCACGTTTACATGATCGACTATGTACCCACGTGATGCATGTTTTATTTCAGCCAAGTAGGTTATTCAAGACGGTATGAAAGGACCAACGGTATATACAATTTGGGGCCAAGTAGTACGCGTAAGTATACAGGCCAGAAGACCATGACAGGGCGGCAGAGCAGCAGGGGTTGCGATCAGTTGGACAAAGTCTTTTTGTTCTGGGAAAATGAAATATATTTAAACATTGGAAGGGTTGGTATAAATTGTATATAAGAAGAAAGGAGTTACTGTGAACTTAACATATCAAAGATATCATGACTGAATGTTCGTAGTAAGTCTCGCGAAATATACCTTTCACTTTGATAAATTCTCCAACAAACCACTTGTTACGATATCTTTGTACCGCACTAATTGCAATTGAAAATAACCATGAATGTAACCACCACCTGTACACATGTACCAATATTCTGTGGCATTTGAACATTTTGAAATTTGAATTTGTTGCAATATATTCCATAAAAGAACATAAGTGGCATATATTGCACATTTCAATCTATGGAGACAAGTCATTTCTGATCTTTAAAGAAACAATTGGGATGTTGGTGTAGTACAGTTACCGGCATGGTGTTTCGCTGGGCTAGCACTTTGAACCGACAAGAACCCGACAAGAACAAGCAGCCACACACACCTCACTTTAAAGTAATGTTGAAGTGTCATCAGTTGATGGGGTATCCTAGTAATAATGGCTTTCGCTCGTTGCGCCGAAGACCCGGGTCCGATTCCCCCATTGGTACAATGTGTGAAGCCCATTTCTGGTGTCCTCCGCGGAGATATTACTGGAGTATTGCGAAACGCGGCGTAAAACTATACTCACTACTTTCCAAAGTCACTACTTCATTTACTAGAATTATACAGAATTATGTGATTGGGTTTGACCTTAACAAACGAACAGGTCCATAAGTTGACGAGGGCAATACGCTCGCTCATTCCGAGTAAGCCTAGCTATTGCTCCTTCAGATATTCGTGTGCGTGGCCGCGCTTCCATGTCCATATACGACACATGGACGTTTACACTGAAAATGTATTTTTACATTGGCAGCTAAATCCTTACTTACTTCAAGTGGGTAACCAGATCAATATCTTTAAATGTTCTTATAGTGTTTGCATGTCTCAAATGTGAAATATGCGCACACAAGAAGGCATGTCTTGTCTTCTCTTGTGGCCTAAGAACCTATTTATTTATCGATATATTAGTGAGTGATTGAGTAAGCTTTTCAGCAATAATCCATCAATATCACGGTGGATTCACTTGTGCAGGGAATCGAACCAGGGCCTTCGGTGTGACGAGCAAACGTTTTAACCACTAGGCTACCCCCACCGCTCCTATCTATGTATTAACACGATGCTTTGGTACGTAAGTTATGTTGGGTATAGAAGTGCGGAAAGTATCCATCTTTTTTAATACATTTAAGTTACAAACCTGGCACTGGCGTTGCAAGGGTGGCACATACCAGCGTGACGAACAGAGCCAACTTAAGAATCATTGTTGATGCTGAAACATATACTAGGTTAAATCTACCCTCAAACACAGTGCATTTTACATGTATCTCCAGTATATTATGATTATGATGATACCAGATCAAACCAAATAACAAACATAAGAGAAAGAATATTGTTCGTTGGTGGGTTTGTAAATGTTCAGTTTGAATCAATCTCTTTGAGAGCAGACATAAAATTATGTAACCATGTTTTGTGTTTTATGTGAGTTTATACTCGTCCTGAAATGTGTACACTAGATCAGATCTATCATCGATGAAACTGATCATCGATAAGAGCCGTGAAGATCCGGGGTAGAATAGGTCTTCAGAAACCCATCCTTGCTGTAAAAGGCGACTATGCTTATCGTAAGAGGCGACTCCCGGGATCGGATGGTCAGGCTCGCTGACTTGGTTGATGCATGTCATCGTATCTCAATTGCATGGATCGATGCTCATGATGTCAGTTACTGAATTTTCTGGTCCAGACTCGATTATTTACAGACCGCCGTCATATAGCTGGAATATTGCTGAGTGTGGCGTTAAACAACACACAAACAAAAAATATCATCAATAACCCACTGCATAATATCTCCATTCAGTTAGGATAAATACCATGGACCACAAAATGCTTGTGCCAAAATATTATCCGTCCAACAAATTACCACGCATGAGCGAGAGAAATTATGTGCGAAGTTACTTATACGAGAGATGGGATAGAGATGGTAACGTCACTTCCGAAACGAAGGTATGGTAGCGCAAGGGTCAGGGGTATTTATCATAAGAAAATGGATGGAACAACGCTGTTTGTTCATAAGTTCATAATATTTGTGTGTGAGTGTTGTATTTGTTTCTTCGATATCGATATTACGGAGATATTTTTGCAGCAAGGGATTAGTCTGATTGTTTGTTTCACACCAAACGCAGCAATAGTCCAGCTATGTGAAATGCAAGCAGCCAAGTTGCCGCGCCTCACGTCCCAATGCATGTAGTTTATATAAATTAGAATCTCACCAAAAATTTTTGATATAATTGAGTGTTCAACCAAATAAATATTTGAAAACATGAAATTAGAATCCGCAAGTAAAGATTTTGTATGATGGTCGTGTCACTACTGTCCGTGGACATCTCTGTGAATGTTCAGTTTGTTTCATATGTTACAAATTTGACGCACAAGTGACGAAAATAAGATCCGATGCAATTCTCTATTTTGACTTGTACAAATTGTTCCCGTGTTTTCTCAGGTGAACAATTGACTTGCCTTTGCATGTGTTTGTGACGGTCCCACCGAACAGGGAAGTATACGCTCGACTTTTAGCGAACAGTTGGTATCATCACTTTTTTATAGTGAATCATAATCACTTGCTCATCATATTGTCAGAATCGTAAAATCGACATTGGCAGAGATGCTTATAAATATGGAAAGGGTTTCGTTGCTTTTATTTGAATCGTCTCTCTGATATCAGACATGTTTTGTGTTTGATATGAATTGATAGTAGTCACTGAAATCGATGCCCATGATGTCAATCACTGGATTGACTGGTCAAGACTCGATTATTTACAGACCGTTTGAATGTTGCTGAGTTCTCCGTGAAACAACAAACATACTAAAGACACTCTTGACATGGAGAGCTATTTAACGAGTCTATGCTTGTCCTTGTTTAGTTGGGACTTGAACAAACACCGACTGATATCAACAAGTACACTGAATTAATTTTAACAGTTTACCAAATAAACAGTCGAAATGAATAAAAAGTATGTGAATGAAAACAAATGCCTTAACATAGAGAGTTAGTTTGTTCACAACTTACATGAACTCTTCTGTCGCTGTTTGAGGATATGGTGAAAACTGAATTGTGTCTTCCTTATATAGCACCTGCAGCTATTTCAGTCAAGGTCTTTCTGTTTACCATTATGTGAAATGGTGTCACCTTAACCGTGCATGACATAATTCATAGGTCAGCTATAATAAGCCCTATGAATACTCTATTTTTATTTATTGAAACGACTTGTTATCTTTTATCACACATGCTACATTGTTCTTCAGACTCGATGAAGCCCCGTGAGATTTTGGGTAAGAATAGACCCCAGTGCACATGTCGTGTGCTTGTCATACGAGGCTCCTATTTTGACCTCAGACACGATGACGTTTCTCCAATTATAAGTCACTGGATTGTTTGGTCCAGACTCGTTGATTTACAGGCAATCGTCATATGCTGGAATATAGTTTAGTGAGGCGTTAATTGCAATAAGTACTAGCAACTAAATGACTTTTTAGCGCTTAAACAAATCGTACGCTAATGTCCTATCTTTATTAATGTACATCCGGGTCGTAAATTCGTATCCGGTTCTGAAGATTCCGGGGTAGAATAGGTCTTCAGCAACCCATGCTTGCCGTAAAAGGTGACTATGCTTGTCGTAAAAGGCGACTAACGGGATCGGGTGGTCAGACTCGCTGACTTGGTTGATGATGCATGTCATCGATCCCAATTGCGTGGATCGATGCTCATGATATTAATCACTGGATTGTCTGGTCGAGACCCGATTATTTACAGACCGCCGTCATATAGCTGGAATATTGCTGAGTGCGGCGTTAAACGACAAACCAACCAACCAACTTTTGCACGTGTTGTCCGAGGTCACTTGCTTCATGACTGCCACAATGTTGTGTTATGGTTGTGTCTTGCCACATATACATGTGTACCCCCCCCCCCCCCCCCCCCCCCCCCCCCACACACACACACACACACACAATCTAACATACATTGGATATTTTTAATACAAACATTAATAGACTTTAAATTAAATAAATGTTAATCATCCTACATGTTATGTTAAATGATAAATTTGATAAATGTCATCAAGCATCTTGAACATGATAAAAGTTCCATAAAATATATCCATTTGATAATTGCGTAATGTTACTAATGACTTATCTAATTATTTTGGAACGTTTAAATTATTATGTTGTTATTAAACAAAATACATGTAATTTAATGAATATGTAGGGTCTTGTCAATATCATATTTTTCATGCACCTAGGTTAAAATGTTCGCAAACAAGTTGTCTCAAGGCCAAATCGGAATCGGTGATTTAGGCCTAATGACCAGCACGAAGGACACGATCCTAACGGTATGTTGAATTCATATAGATCAAACCATGATTTTTTCCAGTTCTTAAGATGCAATCCATTCCCCACTGAAAACAGTAACAGAATATATTTAGCTTCACTTCTGCCCAATAAGCTATAATTCCAATTCAATTTCATTGCTTCTTTGTTAATGCAGATACTCGGTATACTCCTCCCCTATCTTTTCATCGTGATCCAGTTTAAACCGGAATCAACTGGTGGATTGCAACAGGATATATACAAACACCACGGCAGGATAACTGCATCAAGTCGTATTTTACTTGCACTTGCAGTTTTGGCACTAATGGCTGAGCAGCTTTTTCTGTGTCATGTTTTGACATCGTCGCTTTGGAAACCATGCTTTGAAACGCATGTGATGTTTAAAGTTGTAATGGTCTCCGAATCTGAATACATAGATCTCAAATACCGATGCCTTTAAGTGACAAGTAAGTGCACATTGATAATGGAAGAATATTTTAAAATATTGATTCACGTAATGTTCCCAGCGAGATGCATGTTCGATGGATTAAAACAGGTAACTTAGATATTTGCATAGCCAATGCACTGATGGAGAACACGAAGAGCTGTCGGCAGCTCGAGACCCACAAGCAAAGCCTCACAATAACATACATGCTGGGGTAGAATAGGTCTCCAGCAACCCATGCTTGCCGTAAAAGGTGACTACGCTTGTCGTAAAAGGCGACTAACGGGATCGGGTGGACAGGCTCGCTGACTTGGTTGATACATGTCATCGATCCCAATTGCGTGGATCGATGTTCATGGTATCAATCACTGGATTGTCTGGTCCATACTCGATTATTTTCAGACCGCCGTCATACAGCTGGAATATTGCTGAGTGCGGCGTTAAACAACAAACCAACCAACCAACCACGATAACATACACAGGTGGACCATATTAGTCTCCCATAAACCACACCAGTGGCGTTGGCACTCTTGTAAACATTGTTTATATATCCTCAACAGCAAACGTAATTACAATCAAATGAGTATCATTAACTCTATATGACGTCAAAGATCGATCAATGCAGTTATCAAGTATCCATTCACTGACATGAGCCATGCTCGTGATGAGTACATGACTCCTACCCTGTAGGGTTTTCCCAGTTCGAATGTGTCCCCCGCGACCTATTCTCAACATGGGGGCACGGGTGGCCCAGTCGTCTAAGGCGCCGCGATTCGCTGTGCAGAGTTGCGTCCCTTGGGCACGCCAGAAACCTATGACTGTGGGTTCGAATCCCGGTTCGCCCCGATTATGTTTCTAGCTTTGTCAGCACCATACCCGTGCTCGTGGGTTTCACCGAAGTGGTAAACGTCTGAGACCTTCATCACTTCGGGCTTTCCTCCCACATCAAGCTGACACGCCGTGATATAACTGGAAAACTGTTAAAAGCGGCGTTAAACCAAACTCACTCACTATTCTCAACATAAGATGGATCAAATAGTTAATAACCTATCTTGGGGCGGAGGGTGGCCACATCCCAAATTGTCACTCCCTTTCAAACTTCCATGTATCTCGGGTGGGAACGAACATTGTGTAAAATATAAAATACCAAGACTAATGAGAGAAAACAAACAGAGGCTGTCAAGATCCGCCGCCACAAGCCATGAATCAATAGAGATCACGGCTATCGCATATCATCTTCCAACTATGAACCCATCAAGCAACAGTTTTTTGTTGTTGTAAATTTTCCCACCTATGTATACTTAATCCGGTTAAGTTGACTTCCCGTGTTATTCACGTCGTCATCGGGGGCACGGGTGTCCCAGTCGTCTAAGGCGCCTCGATTCGCTGTGCAGAGTTGCGCCCCTTGGGCACGCCAGAAACCTATGATTGTGGGTTCGATCCCGGTTCGCCCCGATTGTGTTTCTAGGTTTGTCAGCACCATACCCGTGCTCGTGGGTTTCACCGAAGTGGTAAACGTCTGGGACCTGCATCACTTCGGGCTTTCCTCCCACATTAAGCCGTGATATAACTGGAATACTTTTAAAAGCGGCCTTAAACCCAAATCACTCACTCACTCACGTCGTCATCATGTGTTCTCTGTCCATCATGTTGTTATAATATTTATCCTTCTGGACCCGCGGTCGGGTAGCCTAGTGGTTAAAGCGTTCGTTCGTCACGCCGAAGACCCGGGTTCGATTCCCGACATGGGTAAATGTGTGAAGCCCATTTCTGGTGTCCCCCGCCGTGATATTGCTGGATATTGCTAAAAGCGGCGTAAAACCATACTCACTCACTCACTCACTCTGGACCCCGTTCCACAAAGCGATCGTAGCGCTTACATGATCGTAACTCCCATACTTTAACACAGACTTACAGCAGTCTTAGCACTAAGATCGCTTTGTGGAACGGGGCCTTGTTGTTTCTATATAACCGACTCATGTTAATCTTTCTCAGATATGAACAGTGTTGTTACTGTCAATCCTTCACCTACTGACCCGTGAAGATTCCGGGGTAGAATAGGTCTTCAGCAACCCATGCTTGCCGTAAAAGGTGACTATGCTTGTCGTAAAAGACGACTAACGGGATCGGGTGGTCAGGCTCGTTGACTTGGTTGATGCATGTCATTGATCCCAATTGCGTGGATCGATGCTCATGATATTAATCACTGGATTGTCTGGTCCAGACTCGATAATTTACAGACCGCCGCCATATAGCTGGAATATTGCTGAGTGCGGCGTTAAACAACAAACAAACCAACCAACCAATCAATCAACCAACCAACTTCACCTACTATATATAATCCTATACAATGTTCCTGCTTGACAACAGCATCAGGATCTATACCGAAAGGTCGCTATTACAGTATAATAAAGAAGGTGTTATCCATATATTGTGTCTACTTTGTCATCCGTTAACTTCTGGGAAATGCCTATCAAACAATTCATACTCACCCACTCACTTACTCATCATTGGAGAACAAAAGTATGGATGTGGTGATACAACAAATTCAGCAAAAATACGGTAAGATCATGATGTCCTGAATCTGAGTTTAGATCTACTTGTGATCTGGAGAATGAATAACGACCTGTTGTTTATGACGAAATCTAATCAGCTTGGTAAACACAATATGAAACCAGATTTATCTTTCTCTTAGGGCTGCGACGGGTAACTCGGGTACCCGGGTCGGGTTGGTACTGAGTAGGACCCGGGTACCCACAGGACTACCTGGACCCGTGTTTAGTCACGTGATCTATTGTTTAATGACGAAAACTATCTTGAACTCTATGGTTACACTACAAGTCATTAATGTTCGAATTTCTTTCTGACTGTGCAGCCATTCCTTCTGATTTTTCATATGTTTGAATAAAGATATAACTTATTCAACTTCAGTGTATGAATGACCAGATTGTTTAATACATGTATCTAAATACGTTTTGCCAGCGCTATGCTAAAAATGTTAGCAATCGGACATTTGAGACATCTCCTGAGACCTACAGTGGGTACCCGAGTAGGGTCGGGTAATAGGGGGTGGGTAGCCGGGTAGTAAATTTGGACTCGTCCCAGCCCTACTTTCTCTAGTTGGCTGTAAGTACTGGACATTCTTCCACTGGGACGCTGCCCGCTCTTTAACCACTTAGAAGCAAGTTTTTAATTTAAGGTGAGATAAAATTCTGTGGATGAATCATGTGGATGACACCATTACCATTATGAGTTAGTTTGTCAAAATAGAGGCGTGATAACGATTAACTCTCCCCCGCACTCACCCAATCTCTTATACACGT